AACCGAGAGATGGGAGAGGGATTCGAAGCCTCTGGAGTAAGAATCTTGCTCTTTGATTGCATCTAGGGCTAAATCACGCGTGGAATGATGGTGGCTACATTGCGTATATGTCAGATTAGGAAATTTATAACTTTAAAATTTTATAGTATTATATATTGAATTAATCAATTCGATGTTTAAAATTTTATAAAATTACTTCGATTAAATTTCGAGTAATGTGAAAACTGGGATACATTTTAAAATCGCCTAAAATTTTATCTATTTTATCAACTTTTGGGTATCACAAAATATTATTTATAAAACATTAATATGTAAAATTTCAATTTTCACCTTCTGACCTTATATACTCGCCTTGGTTAATTTAAAGCTCCTGGCCGGTCGTGACACTTCACGCTTTAGCATGCGATATTATATTTTTTCATAACTCAGGTCTCCTCAAATCATAAATGACTCATACTGGATGATATGAGTTGTCATGTGCCGAAGTAGAGAGAAGTGAAAGATATTAGGTACTTTTGTAAGCCTTGGGGGAAGAGTTAAATGAGATGAAAAAATGTCGACTCTCTTGATCATCTCAAAATGACCATTGAATGAGGTTGAAAATTTTTACACAGGTCGAATCTAGTAATTTCACGCATAGGCGAAACATTCAGAAAAACTTGATTTCCAACATTAAATTCTCTCTCTGGTTTTTCGGTCACAATATTTCTTTTGATGATCCTGGGTTGCAGCAGTCGATCTTGAATATGAAGAACCTTCTCTTTGGCCTGATCCACTGACGGAGACTAGATATTCTTCTTTTCCAACCTCAAACCGACATAATGGGATTTTTATTTCCTGCCATAATGTGTCTTGTATGACGTCATTCTCGGTGTTAGATTGAAAGCTATCATTATAAGCAAACTTTAATAATGGAATATAGTCCTCCCAACTATCTTTGAAATTCAAAATACAAGCTCTCAACAAGTCTTTTAACATTTGAATGGTGCGCTTCGATCGTCGGTCTGATTTGGGATTAAAAGTAGTACTAAAATTCAATCTCGTACTCATAGCTTCTTGCACTTGCTTCCATGACCCAGAAGTAAATCTGCACTATTGAAATCAATATCACTACATGAAGGATGCTGACGAATATAATTGTGGAGAGCTCTTATAATGACCATACTCTTTATTTATTTGTTGAAATAATATGTGGGCATATCTCGCAGACTAACTCATTTTCTTCTAAATTCCAAAATAACCTCTCAATAACACCATGTAATGATAAATATCTCATGCTAAATATTTCTTTTCTTCCTCGAAGTATGTGGTTATTTCTTTCAAAATCATAAATTTGATATTTTATATCAAGCAATTGTTTGAGATATCAACTTTGTAATGCATATCCAACATATTTTTCTATTATAAATATAAACTTTAGTATTGTACTAAAAAATTTTAATTAATTTATACTCAAACAAACCTGAAGTTTATTTGGGGAATTTGTATTTATGATTTCTGGTTATAAATTTAATTATACAACTACTATGTGCGTTGTCTTCCCATCCAACAATTACAAAAGTGAATCACTTACGCGGACTACAATGTCAAATATATGCAATCTTTTTTTTGTTAGACATGCGTGCAACCACATGTCTTCCATCAATTGCTCCAATACTATCTTAGGTCATTTAAATAACATATTATAATTATTGTGTGTAAGTCAATTTTGGAAAGATGCACACAAACCTACCTTAAAGTATGACATATAGCATTAATCTTATGAAATCTCTATAGTGGTACTTTGGAATGTATGGTCTTCTTGTCTGATAACTTTTGAAGATAAGCTGAGTAGAACATTCAAACCAATTGAAAAATATCTACTAATTGCTTCTATTGAGTGTTGAAATTACTCATTTTGTGATAAAATATTGAGCGTTATAGCTAACACATCTCTTGAAGTCATTCTAGATGAGTCATAGAGACCATAATTTTGGTAAAGTTCTTTCAATAGATCAATAAGTATAGCCTATGTCAGACGAAACATATTGAATTTTGTTGGATGGCTCATAAGCAATTACCCAAATTATTTGTTGTCAATGTATGTGGATGCCATGCAAGGATCTGGGTAATATATGAGTTGTAATACTCATACATTAATTATAATGCAACTGTAATAATTCTTATACGCCTTTTATATCAAAGTTATTTATTGTTGTTATTCTAAAAGAAAGCAAACACAATTAAATATCATGAATTAAAAAGTATTTTATTAAAAAAAACAACACTGGTAAACACAATCATGCATAGAAAAAACAATGAAATATGATAACACTGATAAATCAAAAGTAACATCTCCTACATCCATATCCGTCAAACATAAAAAACACGTTAATAATAACATAACAGTCATACATTTCGATGGTAAAAAAAGTAGCATAAGTTGTTAACCCTATGCCTAAGAGCCGTTGACATAAAGAACTCTCCTTGTAGGATCTTCTAACAACTTCATTAAGTACAATTACAACGACATATCTTCATTTATCTCCGAACTTTCTTTCAATATTTCATAACTTGTTGAATAAAAGTTGCATGTGTTGTGCTAGGCTCATCAGTGCATTCATCAACTAATTGTTTAATTTAACTTCTTAAGAAAAATGCACCATCTTTTTTTATTTTGTTCTATTCTAGGACATTTGAAATGACTAGTATATCCAACTTTGTTAAGGATAGGATTTGACCCTTCAATTGAGTCATTTGCTTGCTTAGAATCTACTGCTTAGCTATGTTCATGTGGACTTTTTCACTTGGTGTCCATGCATGATCTCTGGTGGCCACGACTCCACCAACAATCAGGTCCATTTTTTCTTCAAGCTCAAGGTCAAAACAACTAAATTTAAAATCTTGGCATTTGGCATGACTCACAAATTACCTGATAGTTGATATGTTCATATAGATGAATTGAATTAAAAAAATTTTGAAATATTCAGAATGTTTAATAATGTCTTACCTCTAATCTCTAATTTCAATGCACATTTATTCTTTTTTATTGTTGTTGCTTAAATAGCTTGCACATTTATTCATTATTATTGTTGTTGCTTAAATAGCTTGCACATTATTTCTTTTCTTTTTATATTTGAATTTTATTTTGGCATTCTTATCTTATTAAGCATAGAGTTTACCAAATATTATTATTGTGATTTTCAGGGAGGGGAAATGAGTAGGTTGATCGTTAATCAGTTGACATATCTTTTTGTGTAGCTTTCACATTGTATAGTTACAATGTTCATAGAAGGTGATATTTGACTTAGATAAAGACTTTTTGGGTACCTATCATTTTATACATGAAGTGTTTTAGAAGCTCTTATTAATTGAAGACAATTTTATACACACTTTTATATTTATGTTTTATAAATGTTAAGTATTAAAATATAAGTTTGCTATGTGATTATTTACTAAGACTAAATCTCCATTCACTTGATCCTAAGGAGTACAAGTGAGGACAATTATCGATCATAATTGGGTTGACTGAATTCATCTCCTTTGTTACACCTTTGGTTGGCCCAATATCATTGACTGGGGTGTACCATTTTGCTCATATGATTTGTGTTCATCATTCAGTCCCTAGGTGTTAAAAATTATGTTGTGTGATCTATTTGGGTTTGCCCAAGTGATTGAATTTATCATTTTGTTTTGATAGGTTTATCTTTTGAGTTAGCGTTATTGATAAGTTCAGTTAGTTGGATTATACTTCCTTTAATATGCCTTTGCAACAAAAAGAGAAAGTTGTGTGGCATCATAGAAAATTGTATAGGCCAGTTGAATTTTAGGGATTAAATACAAAAGGTTAATTTGATATAATGCATTAAGAAAAGTCTGAAAAGAGAAAAAAAATTGTTGGTAAAATTTCTAGAATTGGTGTTAGTGATTTTTGTATGGCATGTGGTAGTCAAGATACTGATAAATTCTACGGTACTTCTGGCACCTGGTTTTTCATGTTTGAATGAAATGTCATCTAAATTATCATGCCTGGATCGTGTGCCTGATAGGTAGTTTTTCTGGAGCAGTTAGTATAAAACTTTAGGCTGATAATTCTTTCCCTTGAGCAGTTGCTATTTTTAGCTGTATGGAACTCTAAACAAGGGATTTTATCACCTATACATAGTGCTGGTGTTTTTAGTAAATATGCCGAGGCTGTGTTAAATTATTATTAGTAGAGCTCTAATAAGGAACTCTAAGCCGTTTACTTGGGGACCAATTTATCACAACATAAGTTGGTTTCTGGTAATTAGTTCTTATAAATGCTGTTGCTTTCCATCTCTTCTAATTGATTCTGTGCTCTTTTTTATTTATCCATGTATGTACCACGCAGGGCTACTTTTTATTGTGAGAAGTGGTTTAAGTTGATTGAAATTCAAGCAATTATTTTTGTAGAAAGTGGATGCCAGTGAGATTCTATTTTTGAACTCACCTTCATAAATGATTTTACCTTTTAACATTTAATTATGACAAAATATGTATAGTCAATAGGATAATAAGCTAGAATATTGTTTTACTTTACTAATAATGGAATAAGATAAAATTAGCATAAGGGTGGAATAAAAAATGAAACTCATTGCGCTAGTACAAATAAGCAAATTGACTCTACAAAACAATTAAATATAGTGTGTCTAGGTTGTAACTTATCTCTGAAACTCAATTCCAATCATTTCCAAATTACATTGAATGATTGAAATAAACTAACCCTTAATGTTGCAAGACTTTGTATCAACAAAAAATTTAATTTTTCTGTTTCTCTGTACAGATTATGAGTGTTGCTGCCTTTATCTCTTTTTTTAAATGAAAAAAATGTAAAAGGTTGAATTTTGTAAAATTGTTTGTCTTACTGTTCGACATTCACACATAATACAAAGGAATTGATTTTCTTTGTCCTCTCATCCTGATTGCATGATTTTACAAGAATAACATTTTTTCTGAAATATGTATCTTTCCATGCTCTCATTTTGCTTTCGTTACTTTTGATGCAGAAAGCAGTTCAAGCGAGTCCAAAAAATAGGTTTGCCTGGCATATATGGGCATTATTTGAAGCTAATCAAGGTAACGTTGAAAAAGGAAGGAAACTTCTTAAAATTGGGCATGTTCTAAACCCAAGGGATCCTGTGCTCCTTCAGTCTCTTGCTCTTCTTGAGTACAAGCATTCATCTGCTAATCTTGCCCGTGTTCTGTTCAGAAGAGCATCTGCAATTGATCCCAAGCATCAGCCCGTTTGTTTTGTAAGAATAACTAATCACTTTTATCTGCAATTTCAGTCGATGGTTTAATCATTCTTGTTCTTTACTGTCTCTTGCGGATTCTTTCTATTATTTAGGGTTTCTAGAAAACGTATTGTCTGCAAGTTTACAAAGTAAATTATTTAAACCGAAAAGATTTCACCGTTTCTATGCTGAGTTCTTAATGACTTATGGTACAGCATTATGCTTTGAGTAAAGAGTAGATGAATTGATCTTCCAACTAATAGTAAAATTAAACTTGGATTCATCGCTATTATGTTGGACAATGTGCTTTTGGAAATTATCTACAAATGTGTTCTACAAAAGACTGAGCGGCTTCTAACTGCCATAAATGTGCATTTCCTTGTGACCAAGGCAACAGCAGAGCGGCATATGTGCTGGGTTTTTTGGTGGGGTCTGTGCTAGATCTCGCGCATTGGCTTATGCAGCATTTTTTATGTAGGAACTAGTAGCCGTGTTAAATGGGAAAACTATACAAATGCAAATGTAATAAATTGTGTGAAGTGGGGAATTTTCTCTCAACAATGTGCTGTCCTTTATATATGCTTCCTCTAAATAACAGTTTCAGATTTTTTCGAACATCTACATCTTCAAAATGCTTGTTATTTGTAGAATAACAAAATAATATATATTTAATAGTTAAGCGTGATATCTTGTTTTATATCAACTTATTCAGTTAATGCGCGTATCAATAGCCCTCCATGTATTATGACTAAATCCACTTCTTGCATGTCATCTCATCAATCCATAGGCTCATAGATGCCACCTCACCAATCCGGGTGGGCTACTTTGCTGTAATTATTTGTGTAGCTAAGTTTTAATTCTTAATTTTGTATACCTCTTATTAACTCTTCTACAGTTTCTATAAATATGACTCAGATGCTGGAATAAAAGGGAAACAATTCATGCACAACTTTTTTTATCATCCAGCCATAGCTAGAGGAAAAAATCACTTTCTTAATTATTTGTTTTCTGAAAAGTGCCTCTTGACTTGTTGTTTCTTATTTTTGCTCGAATTATGGATTCATATTGATTTTTTGGCTGGCGAGGAACCCTTGAAATCTCCCATTTTGCAAGGCTACTTCTGGCCATGCTTGATGAACTAGTGTTTGCTACATTGAAGAAAATCCTTAACAGATCTCTTTTTCGCATGTAACTTTGGTTGCAGCAGCCTACTTGCTTGTGTGTTTGGTCATCCTCTCAATGAGAGATTCAAAAGGATATTCTATTTGCACCCATGAGGAAATCAAGATTGTGCCTTTGCGAATCTCCAGCTTCATTTTGGAGAAGTTCGTGATTTGCTCGCATGTGCATTCTACTTCATGAGAATCAAGATCCCTCTATTAATCGCGGTCTTGCAAATTGTGATCTTGTTTTAGAGAAGTTCTTAATCCTGCCATGAGAGAACCTCTGACCCATTAAGGTCTTGAGTTTTATTCAAATAGGGGTTCAATTTTGTTTTGCTTTTACCGCATTTCCTTGCCAATTATGACTTTGTGAATTGCATCTACAGTTTGCTTGATCTCGCCCTTCATTAACCTGCAAATCATGTAGGCCCTTGCCAAGTGAATTTCTCTGCTCTTGTATGTTGATTATGCTCAATATGTTTATTATGATTGTACATGTTAAAGGTGCCAGCACGAATTGCGATGACATTTCACGGGTAACTGAAGAGGTGCTGTGGTCTCGTTGGGCCTAACAAGAGCGATCTGAGATTACATGGTCGACCGAGTAGTTTTCTCCTTGCATCGTGGAAACGGTGCATTTTATACAGATAAGAAAAGAATCACCCCTGAAGAATTCAACTTATTAAATCCGTTTGGTCGAACCCGTCACCCTTCATCTTGGGTAGCTCGTGAAGAAGAAACGGGCCCTTCAACTTCAAGGCGGATGGTGAGGATTCTCGGTTAGTAGTTGCCCTACCTTATCGTGGTCTAGCCAAGCAGCCACTCGGCCTAACAACTGTCGGACTATCGTATTTGTGGACCCCATGGGGATCTTTATGTATGGACTAAAATACCACCATCGTATCTATGTATTATAGGGGTATATTTTGTAAATGTATAAGGACCTGTTCGTATAAATAAGTGGTCCATTTCATGAATAAAGGTTATGCAAATTTACTATTTTTTATTGTGTTATTGCTTTCTTTCTCATGCCCCAACGCTCTATTCCTTAAGCATATTTCCCGGATAGATTTAGATTCAACATCCTGAAAGGTGCGGTAAGTATAGAGCCATGCTATCAACAAGGAGAAGAGCACAACAATTACAGAGGATGTGGAGTAACCAAAGAGCGGTGGCCAACATTGACCCCCCACGAGATGACATGGAGGAACTTATGCGAGGAAGAATGCAGGAGATAATGACTCAAATTATGGATCAAGTGACGGGCCAAGTCGCCGAGGTCTTAAGGGCCATCACAGGCATGCTGAGAAATCATTCCCCACAAGAGCATAACCGACCGTAGGAGCTGGTGCTGACGCACGGCCACAGGAGGGGGAACCACGGCCTCGAGGGGGTTGACAACTCACAAAACCAAAAAGCGCCGAATTGGATCTAGTGGAAAGGCAACGCGTCGGGCGTAATGAAGTCCCTCGCAGTTGGAGAATGCTTTCTCCCTTCATATCTCTGGAGCGAAGCCCCTGGAAAAGTTCAAATTGTTGGTCTTGGAAGCTTATAGGGGATGATTAGACCCCAACGATCACATCGTCGCATTTAAATCGACTGTATGCTTGCTTAAGATCTTAGATGCATTCAAGTGTTGTCTGTTTTTCACCACTTTGAGGTCGTCACCCTTGAAGTGGTTTCACATGCTCCCGGTCGGGTGCATCAACAACTTTACTGATTTCAAGAGGTTGTTCTTGGCGCAATTTGCTAGCACCCAAAAGTCCACGAAGAGCGTGCAGTCCCTATGGCAGCTCATGTAGGGTGGGCATGAGAGTATGCAATGGTTCATCGTATTTTTGCAAAAAAAAATGTTTGAAGTGAAAGGCATCAAAGTCGACGCCGTCGTAGCCATCTTGTAGCAAGCCATGAGGTCTGAAATATTTTCCTAAGACCTCAGTATTAACAAACCTCAAGATTTAGCTGATCTGTTGGAAAGGGCCAACAATCATATGCTAGCGGAGGAGAATACCCCCAAGCAAGAACTAGAAGGACGCAACGCCCAAAGAAAGGCTCCCCCGGGAGGCGAGTCGAAACCAAGGGAAGAATGTAGACCGCCCATCCGACACCGTTTCAAAGAAGACCAGTCCTCACGCAATGGCGGAAGCACTGAACGTTGTAACCGATACGGCGGCCAAGCAAGGAATCGAGACCCGCGATCAGCTTGGTACTATGAGAGAGGCGCTGCGATATGAACAACATATGAAGATTATGATGGCTTGCGGGCTACCCCTCTGAGGGTATCTATGGCAGAAGTCGTGGACGCCATCCAAGACAAAGTATTTGAAAGAGATTACATCAATGAGAGTCGGAGGTTTTCTTCGAGACGCAAGGAAGTACTGCAAATACCACTACAAGGAGGAATGTAGGCACCTTCGGGGTCTCATTGAGGAGTTTATCAAGGTGGGGAAACTAAAGGAGTTCGTGGCCCAGGGACACTAGGGTCAGAGGCAAGAGAAAGCGCCGGCGGTGGAGGCCCCACCCGGGCCCGTCCGAACGAATTTCGTCCATATCGTCGGGGTAGTCCCAATGATCCTTTTAGGAACAGGCACCCCTCAGCGCGACTACTTAAAGCAACTTCCCGATGTTACAATTGGCTTGTCTGAAAAATTTCTTCTCTTTCATCCACTATGTTGGAGGAACCAGATAGACATGCAGACTCGACTCCATTCAGTGGTAGAAGATTGAACCGTTGTGGTTGTACGCTCCCAAGTGGAGAAATTTCCTCAAGTGTTTTGGGGGAAGATGCCGTCACCAGTGGGATCTAGGTGCTGCTAGGGAGGTAAACGAAGAACCAAAAGCTCCGACAGCTGAAGTCGGAGCTCCCACAACCCCAGGAGATTGATGTGGTGTTGTAGCTGGACCGGTTGGTCCAGCAGGTGCCGGTCCAGCTGGGAGGCGGGATCAGCCAACCTTCTATTGGGCGGGAGTTACCGCCCCTCCCCTCTCCCACCGTCCTAATTCACTCCCTTCCAAAAGGTGGTTCTTCTTCATGTTCTATTGCTTGCCTCTTCTATCCCCTTTCCTATTTATATTTCTTTCCAATTCCTATTCCTTCCGTTCCTACCAACAACTATTATATATGTATTATTTGAGTGCTTTAGGGTTAGTTTTTGATCATTCCAAATTCCAGTTTACTTCCTTTGTAGTGCTCCTCTTCTGAGGGTTCTATTTGACGGCAAGTAGGTGTTCCGGTTGTAACTCATCTGAGGTGGTGATCGTCTTCAACGGTTTAAGAGTTGCTCCGACTGTAACCCGTCCTTGCTGGATACTTATCTCCCCCAACTACCTCTGTTGTCCTTCACCTTCCTTGCTGCCGCCTGCCATCTAGCCAAAGTCTAGTCACCACCGGCCCCCCTGCTCACCTTCTCTGTTGCTGTTTGCCACCTCCAGCAGTTATCCTGCTGCCTCCAACCCATCCTGCACCTTCCAGGTTCCTGTCCATTCTTCTGGACACTGTCCCGACCCCCGCCGCCTTTTCCAGGTTGTTCCCTCTTCGATGTGCTGTCCCATGCACCGCCGAGCTCTTCTAGGTCGCTGTTCGCCATCCCTTTCTTTCCTGCAGGCCGTCAACCACCTGCGAACCCTCTAGCACTGCTGCAACCTGCTGGCCGCTACCAGCCAGCTCTATAATAACTTTCTTTCTGCCTTCTGGATTTCCTGCCCTCTTCTATAGGGGGTCATTTCTGTCTTTTATGCTGTCTTCCTTTTCTTAAGTTTGCAGTCATCATTGTTCGTGTGTTGTTTTTGGTTGAGGAGTTGTCTTATACATTCTTTGGAAGTCAGCAATAATATTTATTATTTGGTCGTGATTTT